CTCTCTCGTGTGTGTGTGTGTGTGTGTGTGTGTGTGTGTGTGTGTGTGTGTGGTGCTTGGGATTGATCCCAGGGCCTTGTGCATGCAAGGCAAGTACTGTACCAACTGAGCTATATCCCCAGCCCTAACCCCCTCTCATATCTAAACATCACAGATTAAGTTCCCACACACCTCAGAATTGGGATTAAACTTCAACAGGAGTGTTGGGGGAACAAACTGTAGTCTCATCCTAATCAGTAATGTTGGTAAAATGTGTAGTCATGAAAGTATCACATTGGAAAAAACTGACCTCTGAGCAACACACAGAGTCCTGCAGTTTTTGGTTTCAAGATAAACCAGCCAGAATCTGCTGGGAGGTTCACCCTGGTCTGGCCAGATGATTGTTACCGCTAGATTTCTGAACACCCAACTCCACAACAAGACTTTACAAGGTCAGTTAGCTTGCAACGTTCAAATAGATTCCTGCTGAAATGCTCCTGTCTGCTGATGGTCCCAGCCACGTGTGATCTCCTATTAGTTTATCATGGTCTTCTTTAGGGACAAAGAAAGACCATCTCCCCTGAAGCTGTGTTCAGTTAGAAGTGTCTCCACAGTAGACTTACTGGGGCCCTAGAGTGGTACAAATTTAACGAGATATCTTTTTCAGTCCTAACACAAACCCTATCTCCCGTACTCACCCTGTTAATGTACCCAGAACCTCTATTCCTCACTCAGTCATACCAGCAGGCACTAATTGGCACCTCCACTGTAAATAAGGAAACTGAGCCTCTGAGAATTTGGTCTGTTGCCCAAGGTCAACCGATAAGTGGCAAGCCTAGCTATTTAGAAAAGTATTTACCTTCTCTACCCAGAGACCCACAAAGTTTCTTTTTCACCATTGATTCTCTTCTCCATGCAAACACAGTACATGCGAACACACAATATTTGGCAATATCTGCTGACTTGGACCACAGATGGCATGCCTCAGCCCCACCTGGGCCTGGCAGTGCTTGTTGTGCCATGCTAGTTAACTATCAAAATTCCCGTATTCCTGCCAGACCAGAGTTTAAAGGGCAAAGTGGGAGAGGTCTCCTGAATCAGGGCCACCTGTTATAGATATCCAAAGGCATTCTCTAAGTCCCTACAACTTCCAGCTCTCTAATTGGACCTTCGTCCTCAAATATGGCTGTTTCCTACTATCAACCCAGTAATTCAAGTGGTCATCCAATTTTAAAAGAAATTAAGTGACCAGTTTCAATTCAATTTTCAAATGGAGTGAAACACCAAAGATACTTACCCGCAAAATGGCTTGCAGAAGGTTGAGCTCCCCCACCCCTGGTTCAGTACTGAACAGTCAAAAGATTTAAATGGAAGAAAAATGTTCAAATTGGCAAAAAAATCACACAAAGCATAAAAATTAATTCTGCACTTTCAGAGTGGAAGAGGGAAAATGCCTCTTCTCCTGTAATTTATTTAAAAGCAGTGGTTTTCTGTTAACATAGATTGGGGAAGAAGCAGTGTCTGTCATGTGATGAATGAATGACATGACCAAAGCCAAGTTCACTTTTTTTGCATGGTAGCCTAGAATGGAAATGTGGATGTAATCTTAATAAAAGTAGAATTGCTTCTTAGAAGCGGGAGGCAAGTTGAATTAACTGGAACCTTAGGAGCCCTTATAACCAGATGACTCATAGATGGGGTGGGCTCAAAAGGCAACCTTAATGCTTCAATAACAAACTTTTTGTTACTCCAGAGACTCTGGGCCCAATTATCTTGGAAACCTTAGTACACACACCAAAGGGAAGATGTACTTTTTCCCACATTTGAAGTCTCAGCTACCTAGATATATGCCAAATGAAATCTTGCAAATCCTTGGTGTTTAACGAACATAATGCTTTATGACAATCATGTAAAACAGACTATAATACCTAATTTGCCCAGTTGATTTGGAGCAGTTGATTCTCTCCTGTAGTGACATCTCAAAGCAGAGGCGTGGGCTAATGTGCCATTGAAATGAGGCGCACTTCGGGAACTGGCAGCTGTCGTTCCCCATAGCTGTCAGTCTCCTCCATAGAGAGAGGATGCCATCTAGCATGGACTCTGGGAGCTGCAGCCAGCTGCCACATTGCAAAAGTGAACCTCAGATTCCACATGTTGTGGTCTCACATGGGTCCATGAGTGTGCTAGTCCAGCTCCCACCTTCTAGAAAGAGAATTCTGCCCATGAAGCAGTCACTGGGTCATAAAACGTGTCTCTGTGTTATAGCCCGAGCTCCTCAACCTCTGTGTGCTCCAAGATCTGACTGGGATACCAATGAGCTCCTCCACGCTGCATCTGACTTCTTTGTGTTTGGTGGGAGGTGGGGGAGACCGGCCTGGAGACACTTTGGTTATGGTTTGTCTCTGTCCATTTGGGCTTCTATATCAAAATACATACCTTAAACTGGATCATTTATTAACCAAAGAAATGTATTGCTCATAGTTCTGGAGGCTGGGAAATAGTCCAAGATTAAAAAAAAAAAAAAATCCACAGCTTTAGTGTTGTCTAGTGAGGGTTCTGTGCTTCATAGATGGTGCCTTTTTACTGTGTCCTCGTGTGACACATGGATAAACAAGCTCCCTTGGGTTTATTTTATAATCCATTCATGAGGACTGTACCCACCTGACCTAACACCTCCCAGAGGCCCACCTCTTAATACCAACACATGAATCCTGGAAGGACACGGGCATTGAGACATTGGGAATATAGCTCAGTGGTAGAGTGCTTTCCTAGCATGTACCCTGGGTTCCATCCCCAGCTACACACACACACACACACACACACACACACACACACATACACACGGAAAAGAGAAAAGAGTTCATGAGAATTTCTTTCTTTATGTCATTAATCTTTCAAATGACATTCAGTAAAATGAAATTTACTCTTTTTGGTTCTTAGTTCTGAATTTAGACATATGCACATACTTGTGTAATCACCAGCTCAACCAAGTTAAAGAATAATTCCATCACCAGTGATTTTTTTTAAAAAAAACATTCTATTTCTCTTGCCTTAAAAAAAAAAAAAAATCAGAGTTTCTGAAAAGTTAAACATAGAGTTATCATATGACTCAGCAATTCCATTTCTAGGTATTACCCAAGAGGACCGAAAACATATATTCACACAAAAACCTGTATATAAATGTTCATAGCCCCATTATTCACAATAGTTAAGTGGTGAAACAACCCAAATGTTCATTAATGGATGAATGAATAAACAAAATGTGGTTAATTTTATGTCATGTAAATTTTACTTTAATTAAAAAAATTTTTAATCCAATTAAGAGTTGAGGAGCCAGGAGTGGTGGCACACATTTGTAGTCCCAGTGG